TCAGGATAAATGCTCCCAGAAATCAGGAGAAATTCACACAGAAATCAGGAGAAATTCACACAGAAATCAGGAGAATGGCTCCCAGAAATCAGGAGAAATTCACACAGAAATCAGGAGAATGGCTCCCAGAAATCAGGAGAAATTCACACAGAAATCAAGATAATTTCTCCCAGAAATCAGGAGAAATGCTCCCAGAAATCAGGATAAATGCGCCCGGAAATCAGGAGAAATTCACACAGAAATCAGGATAATTTCTCCCAGAAATCAGGAGAAATGCTCCCAGAGATCAGGAGAAATGCTCCCAGGAATCCAGATTCATTTTTTGTGTGCCAGAACGTGCCGGACCCTGTCAGCTGCATCCGGCGTGCGGCGGATCCCGCAGCAGAGATAAACAAGCTGTTCTAGGTACGCCAAGGATGCAGCCACAGCCCTTCCTCTGATTCCAGAGCTGGGGAATCCTTCCCGAATCCCTTCCCTGCCCTATTTTCCTCCCAGCCCATGGAGGGGCCTGGACCTTCCCCTTGGGAGCTGCCTGTCCCTGAATTCCAACATCACCTCGGTTTTGTGGGAAATACGGTGCCAAATTTCAGGAAAGGCTGGGTGGGAAGGGGAGGTGACTTTTATTTTATTTTGCTTTTTTTGCTTTGTTTATTTATTGAACAGAGCAATTAATTATTGTGTATTTGCGGTGCCTATTTTTTTTTTTAATTTAAGTTTTTTTGGTGGGTATTTGGCTCTACCCACTCACCTGCTCATCCTCCAACAGCCAGGTGTGTGTGGGCATCCCTTGGGAGTGAGGTGGAGAAGAGACTACCAAAAGTTTTCCTAATAAAAAATATATATTTTTATTTCTATTTCTATTTCTATTTCTATTTCTATTTCTATTTCTATTTCTATTTCTATTTCTATTTCTATTTCTATTTCTATTTCTATTTCTATTTNCTATTTCTATTTCTATTTCTATTTCTATTTCTATTTCTATTTCTATTTCTATTTCTATTTCTATTTCTATTTCTATTTCTATTTCTATTTCTATTCTATTTCTATTTCTATTTCTATTTCTATTTCTATTTCTATTTCTATATTTCTATTTATTTTTATTTTTATTTTTATTTTTATTTTTATTTTTATTTTTATTTTTATTTTATTTTTATTTGGGGTTTGAATTTGAGTTTGAGTTTGAGTTATACTTCTATATGTAAACATAATATATTAATATGGTAATATTATATATAATATTAAGATGTTACTACCATATATTTATATATATTTGGGGGTTTCTTATAACAAAACTCTGCAGGTATCCCACAAAATCCCGTTCAGATGAGAGCCTCCAACACAGCCCTGGGGAGGAGGCCCCTTGTCCTGTGCCACCCCTGGTGGTGCCACGTCCAGCCAGGTTCTGTGCTGGGATTTGGGGAGAACAAGATAAAACTGAGACAAGGCTGAGCAGCCTCACGCTCCAGGGCAGGATTTGGGCAGGATTTGGGCAGGATTTGGGCAGGATTTGGGCAGGATTTGGGCAGGATTTGGGCAGGATTTGGGCAGGATTTGGGCAGGAAGGTGACACCTGGGTGGCACAGCCTCCAAGAACAGCTCTGAAATAATAAATCAACTTCCCATTGCCTCAATCAGCTCCATCTGAGCCAAAGATCCTCCCAGCTCTGGCACTTCCAAGCTTGCCTGGAGCTGGAGAGATCTGCTGGAGGAGCTTCCTGGAACAATGCCAGGCTGGCAGAAGACAGGCAGGAAAAGTGGGAGCAAACTCTGTCCAGACTGAATTCCTCTGCAGTTGAGGGGTGAGGGCCTCACCACCCTCACAGGAACAATTTCTTCCTCATATCCACCCAAAATTTCCCCTCTTTCAGTTTTCACCCGTTCTCCTTTCTCCTGTCACTCCAAAGCCTTGTAAAAATCTCTCCCCATGTTCCTTGTAGCCCCTTCAGGTCCTGGAAGGCCACAATGAGGTCACCCCAAAGCTGCCCTTCCTCAGGCTGAACAGCCCCAGCTCCCTCAGCCTTTCCAAACCATCCCAAGGACCACTGAACTCCTTCTTTGGGTTTCTTTGGGCTTCTTCACTCCACATCTCTCTAGGTCAAACCCTCCAAGGTCTGTAAATCAGCTGGAGCCTCCCAGATTTGCATCACTCCAACCTCTGGAGGCATTTGTTGTGTTTTGGGGAGCTGCAGCTCCCAGGACTCGTCGGAGCCCGTGTCCCTGGCAATAACGTGGGTGTCATCAGCAACATATAATCCACAGCCTGGGTTGCATCACACCCTAATGACACGCCAGGCCGCCTTGGCAGCTCAGAAATAATTTATAGAATGAGAAATAAATTCCCTGCTTCCATAAAGACAAAACCACCCCCCAAGGGTTTCCTCTCTCGAATGCTGCACTTTTCTAGAGAGGGGTGTGAAATCAAAGATCGCTTGTTTACACTGAAAATGTGTCTGGTTTTTGGTGTTTCCTCACTTTGCTCAGAGTAGGTGGAGCCATCCAATAATTTTAATGCCACCAACAACCGAAGAGGTGGTGGAAGGAAGGGTGATAGCAATCTCTGAAATGACGAGCCTGATATTATGCTAAGTAAGTGGGCAGTCGGGGCTGGGCTTGGCTGTAAATAAATCAATCATTGTTTCTTTCCAAGAGGAGGACCAGATCCTATATAAAAGTTCTCCCACACCACGGTCCTCAGTCCCGTTGACTCCTTTCCACTGGTTCGTGCCGTGGGACACGGTAAGAGATGGAAATTTATTTGGCTGATGAGGCTTGGAGTGCTGGAGTGGAAATGTGGGATTAAGTGTGGCTTTTGGGTCTCATGGTTCAAAAATTCCTCTTTATTTGCTGTTATTTTTTGGTTTTTATTTACCAGTTCAGGGATCGTGTAACCAAACAGGAAAAGGAGCGAGTTGGGACGTGGAAAATCTGGGGTTTGAAGCCCCTTGGATTTCTCTGGGCCCAGCACCGTGTGATGCCAACACACACACACAGAGCTCCTGAATATTCTTGGAAAACAAACCTTGAGGGACAGGGCAGGAAAAAGAGGGTTTGCAGGTTCTCTGCAGAGAGTGGGAAACCAAGGAACAGAAACACAAAGTGGGGCTCTGTTCTCTTTTACCTGGATGGGGAAGGGGTTTCTTTTAAGCGCTTCATTTCTTGGAGGAGCTGTTTTCGTCTCAGGCATTTGGACACCAGATCCTGCTGATCTTTTTCCTTTCAGAGCGGTCCTTTCTCTTCACAGGAACATCAATTCCTGCTGCCGGCAGACCAGGACGTGGCTGGGGTGGGGATTAAGTGCTCAAACTTCAGAGCATCCCTCGGGGACAGACACGCATCAAACCCCGCAAGTGCTGCCCTGGAGCTGCTGAAGTTTTGGGCTTTTTTTCTCTCCCTCCTCCTTCTTTTGCGTCTCTGACAACTTTTCCACAGGCTGTTCCTCTTCCTTCTCCTTCTGGGGGAGAAATGAAACACTGAGCTCCTTTGAAAGCGGGATTGAAGAATTTCAAAGTACAATGAAGTTATTCTTATGCAAATGACGAGCCGGGTTCATTCCTGCGGCCAGGGAATATTAATCCCTGTCCCCGAGCATTGCAGCCCTTTCACAATTCCCAGACCACATTTGGATGAGGGTAATTCTGGGGTACCACGGCCTCGTCTGCCTCTTCCAAGAGGGGATTATTAAGGAATGATTGTTGTCTTAGATTAAAAACAAGGAACAGTTATATCTGAATAAGGAGGATGTGCAGATGGACTAAGCGAAAAACTTCACGGGTTTTCAGTTTCATTCATTAACTCCTTAAGGTGACAATTTTTGCATGGGTCAGAGGCGGAGGAAGGAGAAAAAAGGGAAGACAATTCCCTGTTGGAAGGGAATGGCGTGGCCCAATAGCACAACTTTCCCTCCCTCTGGAAGTGCTCAGGCCTGGGTTTTGTCTCTCCTGCAGGACTTCCATCACACAGACCATGGGGTCCCACCAGCAGAAGGGCGACGGCCAAGGGATGTCCGAGCAGTCCGGAGGGTGCCACGGCGGCGGTGGCGGCGGCTGTGGCTGCTGCTGCCACGGAGGAGGTGGAGGAGGATGCCACAGCAGCGGTGGAGGAGGATCCATGGGATACCAGAGCCAGGGATCATCCTGCCATGGAGGAGGAGGAGGAGGAGGAGGAGGAGGCGGCTGTTGCGGTGGCGGTGGCAGCAGTGGCGGTGGTGGGATCATTTATCAGACTCACATGTTATCAACCTCGTGTGGAGGTGGAGGAGGAGGAGGTGGAGGAGGAGGAGGCGGCCAGCAGAGCCAAGGATCCATCTGCATTATTGGAGGAGGAGGAGGAGGAGGAGGAGGAGGTGGAGGGGGCTCATGCCACCAGGGCCAAGGTCCCATCATTATTGGAGGGGGTGGAGGTGGCGGAGGAGGGGGTTCTGACCACCAGAGCCATATACCCATCTGCATCGGAGGGGGAGGAGGTGGAGGTGGTGGCGGTCAGCAAAGCCAAGGTCCTATCTGCATAGATGGAGGAAGCAGTGGTGGTGGAGGTGGTGGAGGTGGAGGCTCAGGCCAGCAGGGCAAAGGAATCATCATTATTGGCGGAGGCAGTGGTGGTGGTGGAGGTGGAGGTGGCTCAGGCCACCAGGGCCAAGGTCCTATCTGCATTGGAGGGGGCAGTGGTGGAGGAGGAGGTGGTGGTGGTGGTGGCCAACAAAGCCAAGGTCCCATCTGCATCAGTGGGGGTGGCAAGGGAGGAGGCGGAGGAGGTGGTGGTGGTGGTGGTGGCAGCTCAGGCCACCAGGGCCAAGGTCCCATCATCATTAGTGGAGGAGGTGGTGGTGGCAAGGGAGGAGGTGGAGGAGGTGGAGGAGGTTCAGGGCACCAGGGTCAAGGTCCCATCATCATTAGTGGTGGTGGTGGTGGAGGAGGAGGAGGAGGAGGTTCAGGGCACCAGGGTCAAGGTCCCATCTGCATTGGAGGTGGCAGTGGAGGAGGAGGAGGAGGTGGTGGTGGTCAACAAAGCCAGGGTCCCATCATCATTAGTGGTGGTGGTGGTGGAGGTGGTGGTGGCTCAGGCCACCAGGGCCAAGGTCCCATCTGCATTGGAGGTGGCAGTGGAGGAGGAGGAGGTTCAGGGCACCAGGGTCAAGGTCCCATCATCATTAGTGGTGGTGGTGGTGGTGGTGGTGGAGGAGGAGGTTCAGGGCACCAGGGTCAAGGTCCCATCTGCATTGGAGGTGGCAGTGGAGGAGGAGGAGGTGGTGGTGGCTCAGGGCACCAGGGCCAAAGTCCCATCATCATTAGTGGTGGTGGTGGTGGTGGAGGAGGAGGTTCAGGCCACCAGGGTCAAGGTCCCATCTGCATTGGAGGTGGCAGTGGAGGAGGAGGAGGAGGAGGTGGCTCAGGGCACCAGGGCCAAGGTCCCATCATCATTAGTGGTGGAGGTGGAGGAGGAGGAGGAGGAGGTGGCTCAGGGCACCAAAGCCAAGGCCCTGTGTGCATTGGGGGAGGCGGTGGAGGAGGAGGAGGTGGAGGTGGTTCAGGCCACCAGGGCCAAGGTCCCATCGTCATCATCGGGGGCGGTAGTGGAGGTGGCGGTGGCGGTGGAGGTGGAGGTGGCTCCTCCAGCTCTGGAGGAATGTCCATGCAGCAGCAGACCCAGCCCATCTGCTGGCCACCGCAGACCAAGCGCAAGTAGTGGCTGCCAGAAGGACTCTGACACCAAGGAAGCTAAAGATATGAAGATTGTTTGGCTGACATTTCCTCTTCTATTAAATTTAAGATTATTTGCCTTGTCCTCTTCTCCCTTCCCCTGGGAATGTTCTGACCGGAACCTCTGGTGTTGTGTACCCCTAATTCCAGCCAGAGCTGTTCCGTGCACCTGTTCCTGCCTCGGTTTTCAAGTGCTTGCACCAGACAATAAAACTTGCAGTTCTAGAGAGTTCTGTGTGTGAGTGGTTGGATTTTCTGTCCCCGGTTGCTTTATTTCCATCCTTGGTTTGGTTCCAGTGATGTTGCAATAAAGCTCCAGAGCAAAACTGCACTGAAACCCCACCAGTAGAAGAGATTTTGGATTCACTAAATATTCTTAGGTCATTTTTTAATGTCTCTTGATGATGATGATGATGATGATCCCAACTTTTGCCTGTCAGAGAAGGTACCACAAAGTTGATCACTGGGGTTTCTGTACCTCATCAAAATCCTGGTGATGCCCAAGAAAGTTCTGAGTGGGTTCAGAGAGAGAAGATGACAAAATTCAGCTACGAAGGATTTCAAGGTGCAGTTATGGGGTGAGAGAAACTCAGGCCCTTCCTGAGGTGGTGCAGAAGCTCCTGATGCTCTCACAAGTGGAAAAGAAGTAAAGGTCTTCAACACTTTTCCAGCTCTGAACCCCCAGTGGAATCAGGGACTTCAGCAAGGCCCTTCCAAGGGCTGGGATGTCCAGGCTGGAGCACATGGGGATTTCCTCATTCCCACAGGGCTAGAACAGCTCCAAGTGTGAGTCTCCAGAGGGAGTTTCCCTGTGGGGAGCGATCTCTTTGATGTGGTCCACTCTGGCAATTAGCAGGGAAAGGGAATTAAACCTCAGAACTCCTTGACGGGAGGCAGGTGACAGACACCTGGAAGTGTCCCAGGAGAAACAGGAGTGACCCACAGCCATAACAGCTTCTCCTGTCCCTCCACCCTCTGCTGACTCCCCCGTGGGTTCCTTAGTGAGGCAAACACCTCAAAACACATCCAGATGAGCCCCTCCAGCCAGTGTTGCACTGGAGTAGCTGAGTTTCCTGGGATTTTATTATGGGAAGTCATTGATGGTGCTAAAATTCCAGTGGCTGGGAATGGCACAAACACTGACATTGCTGGCACACAGCAAAGCCAGAGTCCAGGGTCCCATGGCAGGGGGGTGGGAACGGTGCTGTCAGAAATCCCTGCACCCAGAAATGGCCCAGGACCAAGAAAACCTGGATTCAAATTACAGAAATTCTCAGGGTGACAGCAGGAGCCACAGCACAGCCTCAAATCTCGTTGCTTCTTCAGAAATGCCACAGTCATCCTCAAAATGGGCAGGAATTCATCATTTTGGTCCATATCCATGGAGATGATGCTGCAAAGGAGGGATGTTGGATCTGGTACCTCTCCATCTCCATCACTTGAAGTGGTGGGGGCTGCCTGACCTTGGCTCTCTCCTGAGTGGGGAAATCAAACAAAAATGCCAATCAACCCTTTGCTGCTGTGGTGGGAAATATCCCACAGCCATGGGGGATTCCTGTGGTGCCCCAGAAACAGAAGTCCCACCTCCATTCCCCTGGGAATCTCCACAGACACAGGATCTTGGAATCACAGAATATCCTGAGGTGGAAGGGACCTCAAGGACCATCAAAGTCCAACTCCCGGCCCTGCACCGACACCCCACCAATCCCCCTGTGCCTTCGGTATGTAACACTCAATAAAACGAGGCTCCCAGCCCCTCCTGGTGTCAGTCACCAGCGGCATCTCCTGGCTGGAGTGGAGGGTGGCAACCTCCAGAATCCTACTTGAACCCCAGAATCCTTGCTGGGAATTCAACTGCGGGAGCCGAGCTCACGTGCAGGACCTGCTGTGGATGCAGGGCAGCCGAGGATGTGATGCACGGGAGAAGCATCGTCCGCATCCAGTGAGTCAGGACAAGTGGGAAGGAGGAGGAGAGTCTGTTTGGTAAATAAACCTATCACCATTCCTTTGGATGCCTCACTTCCCACTCAGGAAAAACGGTATAAAAGTTGGTGGATCTCAGGGTGCTTCATTCGCTCAGCTTTGCCCTGAGGTGTCCGTGGTCAGAGCCGAGAAGGGTAAGTCCAAGCCTGCCAAAGGGAGGGATTCTTATCTTCCTTTCCCGCTCCCAAAACACAAAAGTTCTGGTAAAAAACATCTGGTGGGTGGTGTTGGAAGGGCAGAAAAATTGCTGGGATTAATTTAAATCTCTTGTAGATGCCTTGGTCCCGCCAGACAAACAGAAGCAGCATCAGCTTGTGCTGCTGAAGGTTGTCTCTCATCAGTATTGAGATGGAGATAAAATGGCTTTGAGATAAGGAGATGGGACCACTTTGGGATAAAAGTCTTTAAAAATCACCCTGGACACTACAAAGTGCTGTTGGGCTGGACTGGGCTCATGGGCCTTGGGAAATTCTCATGAGAACTGGTGGCTGCCCTGGAGTAAAAAGCTTTTCCTTGCAGGGTCACTGCTCCGAGATGTGCTCCAGACAAAGCGGGTGCCACGGCTGCGGCTGCTGCTGCTGCTGCGGGGGGAGCTACCAGTCCCAGGGCTCCTCCGGCGGGGGAGGAGGCGGATCCTGCTGCGGTGGAGGATCCTCCGGCAGATCAGCCCAGAAGATCATTATCAGCTCTGGCGGTGGAGGAGGAGGCGGTGGTGGGTCCTCCGGATGCTGCGGTGGAGGATCTAGTGGTGGCTCCTCAAAGAGCATGATGGGAGGTGGAGGCGGTGGTGGATCCTCTGGATGCTGCGGTGGCGGATCCGGTGGTGGATCTTCAAAGAGCATGATGGGAGGAGGAGGCGGTGGTGGATCCTCTGGATGCTGCAGTGGCGGATCTGGCGGTGGATCTTCAAAGAGCATGATGGGAGGAGGAGGCGGTGGTGGATCCTCTGGATGTTGCGGTGGAGGATCCGGCGGTGGCTCTTCTGGGATGAAGATCATCATGGGAGGTGGAGGCGGTGGTGGATCCTCTGGATGTTGCGGTGGAGGATCTAGTGGTGGCTCCTCAAAGAGCATGATGGGAGGTGGAAGTGGTGGTGGATCCTCTGGATGCTGTGGTGGTGGATCCGGTGGTGGCTCTTCAAAGAGCATGATGGGAGGTGGAAGCGGTGGTGGATCCTCTGGATGCTGCGGTGGAGGATCTAGTGGTGGCTCCTCAAAGAGCATGATGGGAGGTGGAGGCGGTGGTGGATCCTCTGGATGCTGCAGTGGTGGATCCGGTGGTGGCTCCTCTGGGATGAAGATCATCATGGGAGGTGGAGGTGGTGGTGGATCCTCTGGGTGCTGCAGTGGAGGATCTGGTGGTGGCTCCTCAAAGAGCATGATGGGAGGTGGAGGCGGTGG